TTTCAATAGAACCAAGTACCAAGAATCACTCTTCTCTCTTGGTCACTGTGGAAGCTCTTCTTTGTCAGCAAAAACTAGACACAGCAGTTTGTCCTGTGACAACACACAGGTCAGAAAATGAGTTTTCAGCCCAGAAGCACAAATGCCCTCACACTGATGTGAGCACCACTGTTCGTGGTGCTGAGTTCAGGGTGAGTGGTAGACTGCTTTTCTCAGTTTGTGAGGAGCAGCATGAGCAGCTCCAGCATCAGTCCTTGTATGACAGGCAACAGGTCACAATAACAGCAAGGGTTACTGGCTCTGGGTTATTGATTCCAAATTACACCACTAGGTATAAACAGCCCATGAACCTGATTTATGTGTGTTTCTTGATGGAAAAATCACTATAGCTGATTCAAAAAGAGCTGGTGCTGGAGACAGGAAGAGGCAAAACTGGCGATGTTGAAAGATTTTTTTTTCCCCAGTTTGTGTGTTTTCACTATTTATGAAAAAGGATGCTTCCTCCCATGAAACACCAATTCCTTCCTGCTTCTACAGTCACACTGACATTCCTGTACCTGGCTTTCTCCTGCCCACACATGCTTCCCCAGCAGCCTTCTTGTATAATCCACAGTTTGTCTTGTTTTCAATGCAAGAAAACATAAAATGGCTGATCACTACTATCTGCGTTAATAGAGGCATTATGTGTACTTTGTGCTGTTCTGCTGGCAGAAATTCAGGGAAGAAACTTGGTGATACAATGATAATCTCCTCCATCGTGGGCAGTGACTCCTGGTGCCCGCTTTCGCATTAAGGTCAGCTTAAAATAAAGAAAGGGAGAGAGGACAAATTCTCTAATTCCAAAATAATAGCAACTGTGAGTTGGTTAATTTTCAGCCTTCAGATCCATTAACCCTACAGGGACTTGTGCCTTCACAGCTGGCCAAGAGGTGATTTGCTTTTATTATCCCAAGGAGACAAGGAGATCAAACTGCAAAACTCAGATCTTTGTCATACCAGAAGGACATGCAGATAGCACTGGGCTAAGTCTTATTCTCCAAACAGAATAAAAATGCATTCAGTTGATGATTTCACAGGTATTTCAGTCTTGGAAACAGCTGAATGACTGGTCTCCAACTATCTAGCCACTCCACCAAACTTTACGCCTTGACCTGATGAGCCCAGTAGCTCAATATGCTGATTCAAAGGCATCCAAGACAAATAAGCATTTTAAGATGGACTTTGTGGCAAGCCAGCAGTGCTGGTGCAGTTACCTCCAGGATGCCAGCACCTGAGAGAAGGCCAGCAACCAAAACATACTGAGCAGGGACTTTCCCTCACCACTACCACAGGCCCCATCTCCATTCTCCCATGCTACATAGGGAAGGAGCATTGTCACTGCAGCAGTGGTAAATAACCTATCCATACTCCAGGTGAACTCACAAGCACCACTCCTTGCCACCAAGTACTGTCTGGGGTACTATTAGTTTCCAGTTATTCTAGATCTGTACACTGATACACCTCTGTACATCTATAAAGAATTTTGTCTTGGGATGCATATGGAGTGCCTGCACTTCCAACAAAGAGTTTGTGTTCTTTGACAGTGCCATCAGCCAATTTTACTATTTTGCAGATCAATTAAATAATTGTTCTTTGTACTCATTTCCACAACATTTTGCACTCCACAACCAGCACGTGTTCTTGACCTCCTGTCCCAGCCCTAAAGCTGAGCTTCCCAACAAGCATGTTCTACCATCACATAAGAAAACCTGAAGTCAGGAGGGGATCGGAAGGGCAATGCAACCTGACAGTTATGAGCACACCACAAAAGTGCTGTCATACTCTGAGAAAACTAGTCACATGGTACAGGAGACAAATGCATCCACATGCCCAACCAATGCCACAAAAATGGTATTTAGGAAGCAGGAAGCACTGGGAAGCATAGGATGTCTTAAAAGCTGACTAATTTCCAGGGAGATACTGCCTAGTAGTAAGCGTTAAACAGGTTCAGAGTGACTACTTCACCTCTTCACCATGAGTTTGCACAGCCACACAGCCACACCAGCACACATGGACAAGTCACTGCTT